CCCCTGTTTTTTACTGTTGTATACATGGTAAGGGCCTTGGGATCTTCATTTGCTAATGGGGCACGACTCAGGGTAAGAAGAAAAATATGTAAAAAATGTGCTAATGATCAGAAATGGGAAGGTACAGAGTATGAAACCAGGAAGATTGAAAGTGGTCAAATAGAAAGAGAACATATAAAGAACATATATATCCCAGACATTAGTGTACTGAAATGGACTGATTTCGGTCATTTTGAATCAGAAAATCATATGTTCTACTGTGAGGGGAATGACAAAATCAAAAGGAATGCTGTTGCCTTCATTGTCAAAAAGGACATTTCAAAATCCATCTGGAAGTTCTTTGTACCTTAGCTATGGTTTTATTTACTTTATATCCTCCAATTTCCTCGTTGAGCCTTGATTTATCTCTACGTCTTGCTGTTACATTGTAGAAATGAAAAGAAAATAGTTGAAAAAGAACTTTAATATGCCTTTAGAGACCAAATGTAAAGGAATATTTTGAGTATTCAAATTTATAAAATGTCTATAATTTGGGACAGAGGTTTTTTATTTTTCAGGAGATAGCAGATGATAAAGACTTAAATTGTTCTAGTATGATCTACATAGGGCAATAAATATCCATGTTTAACGAGAGAGATATTGAAGTGGCGCAATTGCTCAGGTTAAATATTTCCTAAGGACACTGCTCTGAGCAAGTCCCTTAACTGCCGTGGCTGTCAGTTGTTAGCATTTGCAGGAAGTCATCCGTCCTATCGAGTTTGAAGAGCCAAGCTGGAAACAAGGAGTTGAGAAACGAACAGGAGTACTTCCAGTTATGGACTCCCCTATTACAACTTCCTGATCTGTCATCAGCATTTTGGGTAATGCTCTTCTGGCTGACCAGAATGTTAGCGTTGCCAAGGAACAAAGCTTGTTACTTCCCTTGGATTGCTTGTGTTTTCGTCTCTGCATCCGTTCCACAAGGAACCGAAGTCTTCCGGTGCCACAATGGAGTCTCTGTGCCGCCTGACAACGTGTGTGACTTCGCGGAGCAATGTGGGGACCACAGTGATGAGCAGCAATGTAAGTGTCGCCCTAATGCCTTCTCCAGGGTCATTGTCTACCTCTCACCAGGTGCCTGTCAGCAGCCAAATGAGATTCAGTCAGGTACTTGGTGAGGAGTGAAGTGGATATTCTTCAAGTGTGTTAATTAAAATTGAAACTGTACCCGTAATGTTAACCAGAAACTTAAATGTACTTTCTGAATAAAGATTTGTCTACAGATAATATTGTCCCAGTTAAACAGTACCAAATAGCTAAGATTTAAACTAGATGGATTGCAATAAAATTCTTATTATTGTGTGCCGTAATTAGATGTTTACCGGTCCTGGAGATGTGACCGTCGAAATCTAGCTTTCCATATCATATTGATAAAGCAGAACTCAGATAAATTTACTCCAGCTTCAAGATGCTGTTGTGTTACTGTGAAGGAAATGTAGAAGCTGAAGTTTGAGTAAAGCATGGGAATAATAATGCGAATTTAAGATCTGCTGACTGGGTTTTATTTTCATTTTCAATCCACTCACACCAACTGAGTCAGTACTGACGACATGTATAGATAGCACACCTTTGCTTCTCTCACCTGTTTGCAGGGCCTGGAAAGAGCACACGTTTTAGAGAGAGTAGGGACCCCAGATTTGGATCTGGAGGAGCCATTTAACTAACTAATTGCATGCTCTCAAACCTCCATTGTACTGCAAATGGTCAGGAAATGAGACAATGAACTCGAGAAAGCAGGAATGCTCTGTCGTTTCCTGGAAGAATATTGATAGAAGAGAAACAGTTCAAGACATGGCTAAAGACATGGCTCAAGACATATCCTGGGGCTTCAAAACTTCATGGGAAAATGGAATGAAAAGGTAATGGAATTTTTTGTTAATGTTTGAGACCCATTCGCGTTTGACTAATGGAAGTTAGTGCCATTCTTACACACACTCACCTCTCATAGATAAACATTTTCATAAAACTCACTGTGACTCGCTGGGAACACAAACCCACTGCCATCTAGTGCATTCTGGAGTTGGCCCCGTGGAACGGGCCCTGTGGAGCTCCGAGGCTGTGAATTCTCACAGGTTCAGAAAGGCTCATTTTGCTCCCGTTGAGCGGCGGGTGGTTTGAATGGCTGGCCTTGCAGTTGGCAGCCCAAAGCATAACCCACTACGCCACGAACTCGTTGCCATCAAGTTGATTTGGCCTCCTGGAGACCCTATAGGACAAGGTGGGACTGTCACGGCATGCTGTAGCATCTGTAACTCCTGACGGGACTGGAAAGCCTCATCTTTCCACAGTACTAATGGATTCTATTAATTGTGCAGAGACACTTATTCTTTTATAGGTAGGGCAGCTTAATCAAACATCGATTGAAATTTTAAAATTTTTAGATAAAATATTCTAGAACTCTTAGGTTAAAATAAAATGTGTGCCTGTTACAATTTGCTTCCGTTTATGCATTCAGTTGGTAGTATGTTAAACAAATATTACTATTGAATGAAAGAAACTAAAGATTGCCTCCCACCCCCCATAGTTTGAGGTAGTAAGCATGCTGTTAGCTCCTACTAACTGTTAAATTCAAAGAAAACCAAGGACTAGGATTCATCTGTCCAATTTCCCCAGAGAGACTACTAGGGAGTAGGCGGCTGCTGCTTGTTATGGCCTTTCTGGGAAAGCTCTTCCTGCCATGGGTAACTGGCAAAGATGAACTACTTGGCTGGTTGACAAGGAGTACAAGGTCCTGTCTATTGTTAATCTCTATGAAGCTACTTTT